TGGGAGTGCACCAGGTTGCCCAGGGTGGTCTCGAACTCCTGGACTCAAGTAATCCACCTTCCTCAGCTTCTCAAAGTGCTGGGATTACAGGTGTGAGCCACTGATTTGCTCCTTTTAAAAATCAGCTTTATTGGGGTAAATGTAAATATAATTTTTAAATTGCCAATTTTTAACTGTGCAGGTGAATGTGGTTTGACAAATGTATAGTATTGTGGAAAGATAATAGTTGTCACATAGAAGAACATTTATGTCAACCCAAAATGTGTCTTTGTGCCCTTCTGCTCCCAGGAACCCATCTCCTACTTCCAAATCCTTGCAACACGCATCTACTTTCTGTCTCCTAGTGTTTACTTTTCTAGAGTGGCCTATGAATGACATCAGAATATTGTCTTTGGTGTCTGGCTTTTTAAACTGAGTGTATTGCTTTCGAGGTTCGGTCAAGTGCTGTGTGTAACACTGTTCCTTTTTGGCCACGGTAGGACTACACCACAGTTTATCCAGTTAACACTTGATGGACATTTAAGTTGTTTCTGGTTTTGAGTGATTGTGAATAAATCTTTCAGCCCATAATTACCAAGCAATTCTTTTTACTCAATGTTTTTTTTTTTTTTTTTTTTTTTTTTTTTTGAGACAGAGTTTCGCTCTTGTTACCCAGACTGGAGTGCAATGGTGCGATCTCAGCTCACCGCAACCTCCGCCTCCTGGGTTCAGGCAATTCTCCTTCCTCAGCCTCCTGAGTAGCTGGGATTACAGGCACACACCACCATGACCAGCTAATTTTTTGTATTTTTAGTAGAGACGGGGTTTCACCATGTTGACCCGGATGGTCTCGATCTCTTTACCTCATGATCCACCCGCCTCGGCCTCCCAAAGTGCTGGGATTACAGGCTTGAGCCACCATGCCTGCCCCCCATACCTACAGACTTTTTTTTTTTTGAGACGGAGTTTCGCTCTTGTTACCCAGGCAGGAGTGCAATGGCGCGATCTCGGCTCACCGCAACCTCCGCCTCCTGGGTTCAGGCAATTCTCCTGCCTCGGCCTCCTGAGTAGCTGGGATTACAGGCACACGCCACCATACCCAGCTAATTTTTTGTATTTTTAGTAGAGACGGGGTTTCACCATGTTGACCAGGATGGTCTCGATCTCTTGACCTCGTGAACCACCCACCTTGGCCTCCCGAAGTGCTGGGATTACAGGCGTCAGCCACCGCGCCCGGCCCTACTCAATGTTTTGAGTGGGAATTAAAGCAAACCAATTGAAGAATCTGGCTTGGCTATCCTTCACCAGGCTCTCACACCCAGCTGGATTTGACTCTCATTTTGTTATGCTTTGGTAAATTTTCCCCTTGTATCTTTCTTATGAAGTATTTTACCACCTACTTTCTCTTGGCCATTTTGAACTCCCTACTAGGGGCGAGGACCATGTCTTATTTATCTTTATTTGACCCAGTGCCTAGCAGAGTGCCTTTCCATAAGAGTTATGATAAATATTTAATAAATTGATTTAGATTCTCTCTAGTCCCTCCTTGAATACCTAAGTGCTTTTTATTAATTTTTTCAATCCGTTGTTGTGTTACCTCTGGAGCAAATGTGTCCAACCTTTTGGCTTCCCTCGGCCACACTGGAAGAAGAGTTGTTGGGGGCCACGCATAAAAGACACCAGCACTAATGACAGCTGATGAGCTAAAAAGGAAAAAAAAAAAGGCCTATGCATAAATCTCATAATGTCTTAAGGAAGTTTATGAATTTATATTGGGCCACAGTCAAAACCAGCCAGGCCGCAAGCTGAGTGAGCTGTCCAGCTGGCGGCCCAGGACAGCTTTGAGTGCAGCCCGATACAAAGCTGATAAACTTTCTTAAAACATTATGAGATATTTTTTTTTGTAATTTTCTTTTTCTTTTTTTTCCAGCTCATTGGCAATCGTTAGTGTTAGTGTTTTAGTGTATTTTGTGTGTGGCCCAAGATAATTTTCCCAGGGTGACCCAGGGAAGCCGAAAGATTGCATAGTCCTGCTCTAGAGTATTATAAAATAGGCCTCCCTAAATAAGTAAGAATATGTTAATCCTACCTCTGCCTTTAAATCATTCACTATGCAAACTGTAAGCAGACTTTAAATTCTTTGTGACCCTTAGGGATTTTTTAGTAGGTTTTCTTTTTCCAATGGTAAAGTGAAAGGGTTTTTTGAAACACATTTGAGGTTCCCTGTCAGTTCTGACATTCTGGGATTTTATAAAAAGCCTACCAAGTCAGAAAGAACCTGCAAAAGGAGAGAGAAGGCAACATGGGAAAGCGGAAGGGGAAAGGAGGGAGAAAGGCAAGACTCTGTCCTGTTTCTAGGCGATGAAACATAATGTACAGTTTCCCAAAAAGAATGAAAGCTGGGGAAGGATTCAAGAAACGTACGTTGATATGTAATTCAGCCTGTGTTGGTAGACGTCTTTTAAATTATTTTATTTTATAAAAAGGACTATAATTATGACAGTAGTTCTTACCTATAGTCTATTTTTAAAATTTTTTTATCTAGAGAGAGAATCTCACTCTGTCACCCAGGCTGGAGTGCAGTGGCACCATCTCGGCTCACTGCATCCTCTTCCTCTCAGGTTCAAGTGCTTCTCCTGCCTCACCCTCCCAAGTAGCTGGGATCACAGGCACGCATCACCACGCCCAGCTGATTTCTGTATTTTTAGTAGGGATGGGGTTTTGCCATGTTGGCCACGCTGGTCTCTAACTCCTGGCCTTAAGTTATCTGCTTTCCTCAGCCTCCCAGATTGCTGGGATTATAGGTGTGAGCCACCGTGCCCGGCCTATAGTCAATTTATAGTATCAGTAATTAGGCAGCTTATTCTAAAAATTGATGGTGAGATTGACAACCCCTTTACATTAGGGAACTGTAAGTACCAGTTTGTGATGGGATTATCTTGGAATAATCATTAATAGTGCCCCTTTTCACTCTCAAATGGATATTGGTTTTGGAAAATGCATTTATGTCACCCAGTTGTTAGGGGTTGCAGAGTTCCAGATTTCCCTACCTGTCTCCTGCCCCAGTTCGGGGTCTGACTTGGTGCTAGTTACTCAGTGAGAGTTTCCAGGGCTGTTTTTCAGCTGACTCCTTTTGCAGCAGGGTCTCCAGCTGGTAGAGCCATTAGAGCCATTCTCTTCCAAGCACGTTTTTCTAACTTGTCTGAAAAGTTTTTGCCTCCTCATGTAAGACTTAAGCAGATTCTTCAGCCACACTTCAAGATAGCAGCCTTCCTTTACCCTATGACAAGAATATAAGAACATCCAATCATGAAATTATCACTGCTCACTTCCTATGTGCCAAATACTGAGCTGGGCTGAGTTTAGAGACAAAGACAATGAAGGAAACAGACATGTAAAACAGTAACTGGAGTCTGATAAATGCTATCTTTGTAGGAGGTACCCAGTATCTACTGAGGTCATTGAGGGAAGAATAGTTAATTCAGGAGACGGGAAGGGGAGGGGAAGAATTTTGAGCTAGGCCTTAAGGGAGTAGCAGGGGGACTGAGTGGGTGGGAGGCAGGGCATTCCAGGAGGAGGAAGAGACATGTGCAGTGATCCATGGCCAGAAAATACGTGGTGTGACTGAGGAGGCGAAAAGTAGCCTCGTCTGACTATCCATTTGTTGTAATATACTAGTTTGGAACTAAGTGCAAGGAAAGACCCTGGACCACATCCCAGGGGGAGGTGTTGTTATTAAAAGTACCAGACAGGACCTAATTTCACATTTAGCATGGACCCCCGATGATTCCATTTGAGTGAGGTGTGGGTGTGTTTTCATTCCAGAATTTTACATTACAACATGACCACATGCATTGACCAGTTTTAATACAGGCTTTCCTTATGTTGCTTTATAATTAGAAGCTACTGAATTGAAGTTCCACAGCGGTACATAGACTAGTAGTGATAGCTTTATGGAATTGTTTATTTTTAGTTTGGCAAAGGCTAAGCAGTAAATATCTCAATTAGTAAACTAAAGCAGCATGGATGAGAAATGCCCACAAGGAGATCAGGAGTTTGAAATAACTAAGTCAGTTAATTGAAGGAAGTCCTTATATCACTTGCCCATATTTAGAGTTTAAAGAACCTTCCTAATGTGTGTGTGTGTGTGTGTGTGTGTGTGTGCGCGCACATGTACGTGCACACACAGTGTCAGTATCCACCGTGCTGCCAGCAATGAGGCCCTTTGCGTTCCCCAGATTCTAATTGTTGAGGAAGTTTCTCTCTGTTGGAGCCACTGTGCTTGGTTGTTGACCCAGTGGGACAGGTCAAGGGCTATCGCAGTACGATGGGATGTTGTCTCACTACAGAAGCTTTTCATCCTACAGTTTCTTTCAACGTGACCCAATAGGGATTTTATTATGAAATGCTTGGGGAAGTTATTCATATTCATATTCATATTTATATTCACATTATATGGCCTGATGTGTGAAAATATTTAGTGAAAACATGCATGTGGCACTGCAGAATCGTTTACTCGCCTCTAGATAGAGTCTCCTGCATTATATTTAAGATTCCATTTTAAGTTTAGGAGTAAAAACAGAAGTGGTCTGCAAAGCTTAGTTTTAAGAATTTAAATTTTGCTTAAATTAAGAATCTAATCATGCTGTTCCTAGAATTCCAGTATCTTTAGGAAATATTGATCATTCAGAAGATGAAGGATTCATTGGCAGTATAAAACATTAAGAATGTTTGTGAGAGAAAAAAAGGTTTGTGCTTTAAAGTTACAAAATACCATTATTTAGTTACGATTTTTTTTTGTGCTGCAAACTTTAGTCCATTTGAATTGATGGCACGTATTTAACATCGTTTGAAAGGTTGTTTAGGTTTTCCCCCTGAAGTGGGGGAGGGTAAATAGAAAGGTCGTTGTCTTATGCTTAACAATTTACTGCGTATCGGCTCTCTCTGTTCTATAAGGGGACAGGACGGGGGTTTGTGCATCTGCAGATTAAATTTCTGTATGTCTCCTCTCTGTTTTGCAGACAGGAAAAAGATAGCATTCAGCAGAGCTTTAGCAAGGAAGCAAAGGCCCAAGCCCTTCAGGCCCAGCAAAGAGAGCAGGAGCTGACACAGAAGATACAGCAAATGGAGGCCCAGCATGACAAAACTGGTAGGTGGTAGGAAAGATTAGAGCCTGGGCACTCGCTCGCAAGCCAGGCCCACGCCTTACTGTGAAATGACATCAGGAACACCTGTAACCTTTGGCTGGCCGAAGGGAGCAGATGCTAACTACACCGGAGATTCCGAATTACATATTAGTTAGCGTTTAAAAGAGAAAATGGAAAGTATTGCCCACTGTCTGTTGATTTCAGAGTGCTGCTCTCACATCTGTTGCACCATCTGGATTATGAGTTTATTTACCTGTGTTCAAGAAACGTAAAGCTGAGAGAGACCACAACAAAGTAGAAAAACAAAGGGCTTGTTTTTGGCTGGGTTTTCAGGCACACATGTTATATAAAGAAAATAGCATCAGAAGCTCTGCGGGAAATGCTCTGAGCTTACAGTTAGAGTCTCCTGAATAGCATTGAACAGTTCCCACAGTACACACATTATAGCTGCTCTAAAAGCCTAATGAGTTTGCTTCAGCATCCAAACTGGAGAAAAGCTTTAGCCATTAATCGGTTCTTAATTCACTGTCGCAGCTGGATGTAATTCAGTGGCTCCAAATTGATATGTTCCTTTATTTAATCTTTGCAGCTTCGAACATTTTTAGCATTTGTATGATTTCCCCACCTCCCCCAACCCAATCTAGAGTGATGTTTAATCCTTTGCATTCTTCAAGTTCTCACAACTGCTGTTAAAATTCACTAATACAAGGCATTGACCACAGCTGGCAGCTTGGCTAAAAATTGCCATCTCTCATCACATTGGCACTATTCTGCAGACTGAGTTGGCCAGTAACTCTTTACCTTTAATTTGAAAGTAAAATGCACTTTGAAAATAGACAGTTTGATTTGTTCAGTCAGAGCATTATGTGGTTTCTTTCACTTTTGAGTTGTGTGTTCACAGACAGTGTTAGTCAAAACAAGACAGTGTCAGTCATTATAATTCCACACCGCATACTCCACACTGATTGTACCATTAAAACAAAAGTTTAATTGATCCTGTCTCTTCCAGAAAAATGTTGCTTAATTTTAGTGCCTGGATTTATTTTGATTTGTATGCTATATGCTTTTTGCCAATTATTGGGTAAAATTGAAAAGAAATAAAGGACTCTTAAAACTTATGCTTAGAGGTAATTTTCATATAATTTAATGTATTAATATATTGTATTTGATGATACAGTTAAAAATTACTTCTTATCCGATGGGTGAAAAATTGCTAACATGCAAGTCATTAAATAATCTATTTACTTATGAAGAGGCAAATGTCATATTGACTCACATAATTCCCTCTAGCACTCTCAGTAGAGATTTTCTTCTAACAGCATTTGGCCAGAAGAAATGAAAATTCACCAGGTTTAGTAGATGTTTTTCCACTAAAACAAAAAGAGGAAATTGTAGGATAAATTATTGTTTGCCCCCACTGCCAGCATGATCCAAGTTATCAGAGTCTTGGGCAGAAACTAAGCACTAGATTAGAGTGTATTTAACCGTTAAAACCACCTTAAGAACATTTCCTTTTGTCTTGTGTACACACACACACACACACACACACACACACACAAAATCACACTGCTTTCAGTGTCTTTGACCAGATCTCCACTGAAGCTCATGCTGTTGACAATGAAATTAAAATTCTAAAGAAAATACACATTTTAACCTTCATAATTAGAGAAGTATATGCAGGATTGGAGGCGGTGGTGGTAGGAAACCATGTGTGCAAATATGAAACGAAGCATGAATTACAGTGTAGAAGAGAAGTCCTCGATGATTTTAGTTTTGAATTATCTGGTTGTGAGAATTTTTGACACTCTGTTTATAGTAAAATTGTCAAAATAAAAATATAATATCTTGCATATTACAGAGATATAAGCATCTATGACTCCACTTGAGGTATTTGACACTTTATTAACATGTTAAAATGTTACACCAAGCTGGTATGATGAAAAATGTTTCTGGTGTATAATTATGTTGAAAATAAATGACTCAAAAGATTGAGTGTGTTGCCAGATGATCAGTCCTCTGACTTAGGACACTGGAGGTGATCTAGTGGCTTACAGGAAATGTATAGGGTCTAAGCACCTTATCACTCTACGTATGGAAGCACTGCAGAGCTACAACCATAAACATCTTATGTTGGTGGGGTTTATTGTTATTTCTAGAAAATGAACAGTATCTGTTGCTGACCTCCCAGAATACATTCTTGACAAAGTTAAAGGAAGAATGCTGTACATTAGCCAAGAAACTGGAACAAATCTCTCAAAAAAGCAGGTAGGTGATGTTATGAATACTTTCAAGAGCACTGTTTGTGTGACTAATTTTTCCTTAAAAGACAGCATTTATACTGTTGTATAGTTTAATGTCAAAATTAGGTATCTGCTAATGTTTTCTTTGAAAATATTTTCTCCATGTAGACACTTTCTTAATTGTCCATACACTTATGTTTTTTCTCGATTATGTGTATATACTATTATTTGACTTTTTAGTGTTTAGAATTGAAAACTGAAATTTCAGAAAACAAGGATCAACATGGTAGTGACATAAGGATGCAGACAAACCAAGCAGTTATAAAATCTTACATGGACATGGTTAACACATTTTAATCTATTGTTACAATTCACCATGAACTCAAAAGCTATCTTAGGTTAAATGGTAACAGATGAAATGTGTATATAGTAAGATAAGAGTAGATGATACTTTGAAATAAATAAACCAAAACTATTCTTCCCCTCTCTTCAAATTGTTAATATTTTAATAGAACAGCCATCACTTATTTTATAGGCATACTACTCTTTTATAAATCCATTGATTGGAATCTTAATGGCTTTTTTCTACACAATTTCTAGTCAGATTATCTCAATGAATAAATTATTTTGTATTCTAAACTGCAAGAAGCCCAAGTCCTCATCTTAGCTCCGGCAGTAACTATATAATCTTGGACAAATTTATTTGACCCACTTGGACTGTAGTTTCTGCTTTTGTAAATGAATGACATTGGACAGAATCACTTTAAATTGAACTGTAGAAGGCAATATTCACGTAACTGATAAGATGTCAAGTATTACCTTATATGATAACTTAAACAAAAAATAGCCTGTGTGTCTTCTCTTCTGTATTTTTCCAAAACTCACTTAGATCTATTGAGAGCACGAAATATGGCTCAGCAAACAAACTACTAACCTACATGTTTCATTTAGAATGGATTTCCAGGAGGATCAGAGCATATCTGATCACTCTGAGCTCCATCTTGGGATCCTGCATCAACAAACTGTCTTAGCTGATAGAATCCCCATCGCTGATTCTTTTGGGGCATCACAGGGCTCATGCATCCAATTCTCCCTGCTCACAGGAAGGCAGAGGCTCCTGTAACCACCAAGAATGTACTCTGACATGCACACCTTCCTAGCATATACTAATAATTGTATTTTGGTAGGGGAAAACCTGTGTGCCAAAATACCAGATATTTCAAGGAAATTTGATCTGGAAAGCCAAATGACTTTGTCATGAGAGAGACCCATAAAATATCAACAGGAGCTATACTTAACCAGAAATATTTGATTTGCGGCACATAGATCCAAAAGTAATTTGTTAGAAGCAAAGAAACCAGATTCTATCATTTATGGATAAAATTATATTAATCTGGGTTTTGTATTAATGTGTTAGGTCTAAAATTGGTTTGTGATTGATTACTGATCTTGCTCTCCAAGGAGACATAATTAGAGAAATTTAATCTATAAAAGAGACAAAAAGGTGCTTGGTATTTAATTCTCACCACAACTTGAGACAGGAATTATTATCTTCATTGGCAGATAAGGAAACCAAAACTGTTTAAATAACTGGTGAGTGGGAGAGTTAGGGCTCTAACCTAGGTATTTTTGGTTCCAAAGTATATGTTCTTTCTTACAGTAATTACAGTATTTTACATCTATTGCTAAAGAAAATTCAAGCCACAGTAGTAATGATGGGAAAGTTTGGGAAGGAAAAACTAACCTTTAAATTCCCGTGGAGAAGTAAGCATCCTGGGCACGTGACACGGCTAACCCACTCTGTGCCCCTAGGCCCTCTCTTTCCTCCTCTAGATCTGTCACCTTAGCCTGTACTGGTCTAACTCAGCACCTCTGCAGCTCCTCTTGCTTCTCATTCCTCCAGCTCCTGAACACGACTTTGTAAATTGGATGTATTCTTTTGTATCTGACACATAGATGGCACTTAATGAATGAATGATAAATGAATGCAACAGATAGGTGTGGTGCTGCTCCCACATCCTGACCTGACTTCTGATGCCTGTCTGTGCCTTTGTTGATGGCAGGCAGTGTGCAATCAGGAACACGTGGGAATTCAGAGGAACTAGCTTTGAATCACACTCTACCACTTGGGGCTTTGTAACCTTGGGTACATAGCCTAATCTCCCCAAACCTCAGCCTCTCCCTCTGTAAAAACATTTCTAAAGCCACATTGTGTGGGATTGTTGTGGGGATTAGAATTACATATATAGATACCCATAGGTACATGTATCAAATGCCCAGCACAATGTCTGACACACAGTAATACACAGTAGCTGCTATTGTTTTCACTGGTGACATTGTTTTAAGGGTCTTGACTGGTAATTTGGGTATCACTTCACATAGCTGTTGTCTTTGCCAGGGAAAGTCTCACTGTCATATGCTGACAGAAATAAGTCTATGCCACAATGCAAGCCTTTTTCAAAAGGCCAGATCAGGAAAATGTGCATCTAGTTGTATTTTGTAGATCTGATGCATTAAAATAGGCACCTATTCTAACTTTACAGTTTGAACCAAGGCCTAGCAACTAGTAAACACTTGATAAATTGTTGCTATTTTTAAAACTCTTAAGGGCCCCTAAAACTTACAAAAAGTGCATTTTGTGCACCTCACAGGAAGGCAGTGGAAAGGACAAATTGTGGGTTTAGGGTTGTTTGTTTGTTCTTGATTTCTTTTAGTTCCAGTTTCATTTCTCCCTGGTTCCTACTATGACATTTTCAACAACTCATTAACTCATTCATGTCAAATTGAATGTTTTATTTTGATGTTACCTTCTGCTTTGTAAGCACCTATAAAACTTGAAGGGCTCAGACTGTTTCTTTTAAAATACAAGTTATTAATGTAGTCACCCCTGAAGCCCTCCAGGACTGTGCCTCTGCATACCCCATGCCAGACTTGGGATGATAAATCATTTGCCCTGTGCTTTGAGGTGAGGAAAACCTTGGAGTTTCTAAAGTTTTGTCCTTGTGGAAACCCAGTCTCCAAAATAGTTATGCAGTCATATGGTAATTTTGATCCAGCTTTTCCTCAGAGTATTGGAGTAAAATTTTTCCTGAAAGTAAGTGTATTTATTTTGTATTGGGCAATAATTAAGACATATTTTTCCCTCCTCTGTTACTAGCAACATTACTCTAAGAGCCTTGTTATTCAAAATGCCAACTAAACAAATGGATTTCTACCATTTAAAATAAGCTTTTAACTCACAGATCTAGTCATTTGACTGGAGTCCATGCAGAATGACGGGACAGCTGACAGCCTGGGCTCAGTGTGCACTACACCCTTGCTCTCTGCCCCAGCCTCGCGCTAGGCTGCTCTGTTGCTCTGTGAAAATGTTTTGAAATGGTACCTCCGTGTGTGTGTGTCTGTTGTATGTGTTTTCTCCCCAGGTAGACCCTAAGTTGCATTATGGCAGCGACGACTGCTTCTGTTTTCTGGAAGCCTCCATAGTGATTAGCACAGTAGTTTGCGCCCTGTGTGTGTTCCACACTGCACGTAGTGGTGCCTGTAACCCTGGGGTTTGTGAATGGCACATCCCATTTTAAAACTAAAAATGAGCTGCTGATTCTGTGCATTTTATATAGCTTGTTTTTGACCGTCAGGCAAGAGAATTAATTCCATTTTGCTTTTAACTGGCACCAGGCAGACGTTCTGTCTGATTTTAGTTGAAGCTCACATAAACTTTCGCTACCCTTCCTTCTGTATTCCCCAGTACTCTGAGAGCTTATTACAGTTATGGGGTTGTTTTTGAGGGAGGTAAATGGAGCTATTTAAATATCTTTGGTACAACTGTGATTTTTCTTTATCAAAGTGAAGGAAGTATTCTCTCTCCCCACGCACTTAGATGAATCAGCAGTAAAACGTTGCAGTGCGGTCTGCAGTGCTGTCTTAACACCTGGCCTGGGAAGAGCTTGGAAGGGTTGTGCGCTGGCGAGGAGTGAGCCTCTGCCAGCACAGAGGGGAGAGAAGTGTGTGCTAGGTTTTAGCTTCTCGCCACTTGCACATTGAAAAGAACAGGGTAGAGATAGAACCAGGGTCTACGTGGGTTTGCTTCTTTCTTTTCTGTCATTGTCACTTTCTGGGTTGCTAGGCTTGTGGACTGATGTCTAACCCTGCCCATTGTGTATTTGTGATTTGTGTTTTGTAATTAAGAAGAACAATGGGAGTCCATGGGGTCTCGTTATATATAATGGTTGGTTTAATTTGTTTCACTTCTATCTTGTTAATTGTAAATTGATCATTAAGATTTGAATTCTAATCTGTCACCAGGGTTGTGAGTATTGAGGGTAGAGCAATGATCCTGGTTTTAATCACTGATGATGAGAAACAAATTTTATAATTTTGGTACATATTGCAGTTCATATATTTTAACACTGTACTTTATGGTGTTATAAATATTGTTAAATGACTTTTAGTGTAGTTTTACTGTGTGGACTATAATGTATAAATTATATTACTGTTTTGGCAACAGTAGGTATCCAACTGTGTAAGTTTAATTGAAGTGAAGAACACACACCCGGTTAAACTGTTTTTCCCTCCACGTTTAGATGATGTTAGGTTGGGATACTATAAAAATTCTATTTTCTACACGAGGAGACTGATATTGGCCTCTGCTAATTGTTACCAAAAGTCAAACTAGAACCTAAAAGAATAAAAAATTAAGATATCATATTTCCCTTTGAAAGCAATTATCATTTGAATCTGAATTATAGTAGTAAAATATATTTCATGCAAATGCAATTATACAATATAACTGGTATATAAAAATACAGGGGAAAGTTCATGCTTCTGTAAAGCCAGAAATTGCCTAAATTTTCTATGAAAATGGATTAGAGTCTATTATCCTTTTATATGACACAGGAGAGTCATGCCACAAATGTATCTCAAAACTAACAGAAAACCTGTAACTTTACTCTTTGAGCTTTGCAAACTACTAGTTCTAAGAACATAGTGTGAGCTCTACACAGAAAAATGATGATGTGCAGGGACATATACCAAATTTTTGTTGAAAAATGAAAGTTTGTAGGGAAATTACAATTATAAATAAAGAAAACAAAAATTGCAAAGCAGAAAAAAGATTGTTGCAATAATGTACTTGATAGTAATATGTACTTTATAAAGAACATTTATATTTTTGTGATTAGGTAAGATATCCTCAATGCAGGGAATTTGGAAAATACAAAGAAGAATTAAGGAAAGTTTCTTATGCCACTACCAACCAGAGATAACTATTCTTACGTCTGACATATTTCCCCTCGGTCACTTTTCATGCATGTGTTTGTATACACACATTTATATCGTGATTGAGATTATACTGTATATACAGTTTTGCGTCTGCTTTTTCATTTGATAGCTCATCTAATGAACATTTTTCTATATCAGTAAATACCCTGAAAACAAAAACTTATTAAATGATTTGCCTGTACAATAATTATTAGGCTTTTAAGATGTTTCCAATTTTTAACCATTATCAATAATCATGTGACAAAAACTTTATACCTAAATCTAAATTATTGATCGTTTTCTTAATAGAGGTTCCTAAAAGGGAATTGCTGGTCTAAGACTATGGATCATTTTAAGGGTATTGTTTTTTACCTTGTTTAAGTACTACACTAACTTCTAATCACTGTATATGTAGCCATATTAGTAAATAACATTAAGAAGAGGTGAGATACCTTAAAAAAGAATGCGAGGCATTAGTTCACGGTGGTTGGAACTACCCCTGTAGAGGTGAACTAAGTAGTATTTGTATCTGGGCTTGGCTACTTGGGTGACCTGAGGCAAGTCGTTAAACTTCATACTTACCTCACAGAGAAAAGAAAATGAAGCTTTACAAGTACTTTATAGGACTGAGATCATTAATGTAAAGGATGGATTTCAGTATTTGCTATAGAGTAGGCATGCAGTAAATATTTGGCAGTGGTATCTGGTTTTGTTGTGCTAGTTTTTGAATAATAGTAAAATTGAATATGTTATAAATGTTATTGATCATTTGTGTTTCTTCTGTAGATATTTTAAATATTTCTTATGCTTTTTAATTGGAATTTTGATGGAGAGTACAGTTAGTGTTTCATGAAATGATGCTTTTAATGTTTATTTGTCTTATTTTTGTAAATATTTTCCTGTTCTTTACATTGATTTTAATTAATAAGCTTTATTTTAGCAGTTTTATTTTCACAGCAGAACTGGACAGAAGGTCCAGAATCCCCACATATTCCCTGTTCCCTCCACACACAGCCTCCCTCTCCCACTAGTGACATCTACATTTTGTTTTATTATGATATTTTTTCAAATTCAAAATGAATTTATTTTTTAAATATAAATACATATCTTTTTTTTAAAAATTAGAAAGAATAGAAAAGAATGAATAAAGAACAGAGAAAACATTCCTGATCCTACCATCCAGAAATAATCAATCTTAATAGTTGGTATACATGTCAAAATATTTTTCTAAATTATAAAATTAAATCACATAAATCACATCATACATGCTGATTTTTAATGTTTTCTCTCTTTTTATCAATATGTTACAGTTTTAGATCAATAAATAACACAAATAGCCATATTATCAGAATAATAAGTGATATAACCAAGCTTCTGTTGACAGCTTTCTTAGTTAGGTTTTCAGATTATGGGTTGCAAAGAAAGATTGTTTCTAGAAACTATGGTACAATGAATACTCTCATACAAACCTATGATATATTTTCAACATACGATTTTTTTATGTGTAAAAGTTTTGTATTTTTAATATTGTAAAATCTATTTTTTTCTATGTGATTTTTCTTTTAAAAAGTGCCCTTTGGTTTGGAAAGTGCCTGAGAATAGGTCAGTGTTCCACATTTTTTTCTAATCTGGCTTAAAGATTTTTTTTTCTTCTTTTGGAATTTGTTTTAGTGCATGGTATAATAGGAGATACTAATATTGAAAGGGATACCAGATCAAAAATTTATTATAACTGCCTCTAAATTATTTTTTGTTACATGTGATTCTGAAAGGAGAAATGTAAGTCATTATTAACTCCTTTTAGACTATTTCAAATATAGGTCTGTTCTTATAAGGAGAAGCAAATGTAGATTGAGCACTTGACCTGAGCTTGAAAATTAGATAATCCATGCTCTCATACAGAATCTGGTGGGAAAGACAAGGCACAGAGCACAAGTTAAAAGAATAAATTATAAGCTAATGTATGCATAAAGGCTAGAGGTAGCTTTAAAAATGTGCTGACATATTGAGAACTGTGAGATACTAATCAGGGCAAGCTTCCTTTGGGATGACATTTGAATCAAGATGAAAACAAAATGAAGAATGAGGTGAACTAAAAGCAAGAGTTTGCCCCCCATATATGTGAGCAGCTTGGTCCTTGGGATGAACGATTTTTAAGGTGAGATTTCCATTAGCAAATCCAAATCCTTTCCTGTCCAGGAAGAAAAGACTATCTTGCCTACTGGAAGAATCCTTTTTTGAAAGGAATCCGTTTTACATCAGGAGTCTTCAGAAAACAAACCGATCATTAACCTGAAAATGACTCATAATATACAAGAGTTTTAAACTTGGTATTCTAACTCATTAGGCATTAGGGCATGAGCAGATGCTGGCAGCAGGCAGCAATTTAGAGTTTACTTAGTACAAGGAAAGGAATATAATTTTTCTTGGATAAACGTCTTTCCGATCGTCAGGTTTTGAGACTTGGATTGTCATCTAAGACAGAAACGACAGGATATTTCCTGAAGAATATCAGCTATCACCAAAGGAGATATTTTTGACTCGCAATGAAATATATGAAGACAGAAAGAAGATGGGGGGGAATCGTACCCGACTTAGCAGAATGGGTAAAGGCGAACCTTCAGTGTCTACAGAGGTGTATACGTATATGTGAAGCAAGTTGGTCTGCTTTCAGAATTTCAGAAAAACTTGGAAAGGAAGGGTGGAACATAGGAAATCATCAGTTTGAAACCAAAATTGACAGTTCCACCTTCACCACTTGCAGCCAAGTACCTGCCCCTCCTCCACACAGAAGATTAGGGGCTTTCTCTTGGAAGAGATTGAACCAGAGAGCTGTGGTTAAAATAGAGGCACTAAAGTTAGAGTAGAAGGATTAAGAAAAAGTGAAAAAAAAAAAAAAAAAAAGTGTATAGGTAACATCCTCACCTCTCTATTTCCAGCCAGTGTCTGGACCTCTGACAGGGTTGTACACAACAGCAGGAAACTGGAAAATCCTTCTCGTGAGTGACAGTGGCCAGAGAGAAAAAATGACAGATACTGATATTTGAGAATCTTCCATGAGAAAGGGTGTCTTGTCACTCAGTCACACTATACTAATGCCTACTAGTTTGGAGAAAATAAATGTACATAAGGCACATGGCATCATAATATGCCACATGGATAGCAAAGGCCAATATTTAAGTATTGATTTTAATATAAATATGAATATTAATTGAACCCCAAACTGAAATACTTGTCAATACATTGACAAGCTAGAGATAGAAGGAGGGGAAAGGGGCATTGAAAAGAATTTAATCTTCATCTACCATAGAAAGTCAATAGAAATTTCTTAATTGATGGAACAAGAGCTGGTATAAACATAAAGGTAAATACAAAAAGAAATAGCTTTATAAGAATTGAAAGTATCTGTCACTGCCTTGTGATTGGAGGTCAGAGGACAGAAGACCGCTGTGTTTCATTATTATGCCTTTTAGAACTTGTATTAATCAGGGTTTTTTAGAGAAATAGATCTAACTGGGTATCTTTCAATCAGTCTATTGATCTATCTACCTGTATATCTAGGTCTGGGTCTAGATAGATGTGGATTTATTTGAAGGGATTGGCTCTGGCAATTGTGGAGGTTTGGTAAGTCCAAAATCTTCAGGGTAGGCAGGCAGGCTAGAAACCCAGGGAAGTGCTGGAGTTTAAGTGCAAAGGCACTCTGGAGGCAGAAATCTGTTTTACTCAGGGGAGGTCAATCTTTGTTCTATATACATGTTTTTTTTTTTTTTTTCCTTTTTGGGACAGAGTCTTGCTCTGTCGCCCAGGCTGGAGGGCAGTGGTGAGATCTCGGCTCACTGCAACCTCCATCTCCCAGGTTCAGGTGATACTCCTGCCTCAGCCTCCCAGTAGCTGGGACTGCAGGCACCCACCACCATGCCTGGCTATTTTTTGTATTTTTGGTTGAGACGGGGTTTCACCATTATTGCCTAGGCTGGTCTGCAACTCCTGACCTTGTGATTCTCCCACCTCAGCCTCCCAAAGTGCTGGGATTATAGGCGTGAGCCACTGCACCCAGCCTCTTAGTTCTGTTAAGACCTTCCACTGATTGGATGAAGCCACATGCAGGGTAATCTGCTTTTCTCAAAGTCTACTAATTTAAATGTTAATATTATCTAAAAAACTCCCTCACAGAAATGTCCAGAATAATGTCTGGCCAAATATCTAGGCACCATGGCCCAACTGTGTTGACACATAAAATTAACTATTATAGAACTATTTTTATTTTAACTGTGTGCCATTACACTGGTTATATTAATTAAAAGAAACTGTTATAGAAATTAGGCCTAGGGTTTCTTCTCTGACAGCATAGTGTTTGGCCTAGAATAAGCACTCAGTAAGTATTTGTTAAATGAATGATAATGATAGTCTTTTAAAAAAGAGATTTGATCATTATCATTTTTGTCTCGTTCCATTTCTATTAGAGTAAGTTGTTATTCCTTGTTCTGTGTAACACTTGAGTCTTACAATGTGTCTTGCAATTTCTGAAATATTTCCTTTTGCAAAGGATATAGTTGTCATTATACTGTTATGTTTAAGTACGGAGTTTAAGGTAATGTTAAGGTTATATAATAACAATATGCCCTCGTAATAAGAACCTTCAACATCTATCATGTTTGTGTTTTCACCTCTCTAGATCTGAAATAGCTCAACTCAGTCAAGAAAAAAGGTATACATACGACAAATTGGAAAAGTTACAGAGAAGAAATGATGAATTGGAGGAACAGTGCGTCCAGCATGGGAGAGTACATGAGACAATGAGGCAAAGGTAATCAAGGTTTAATGATAACTCACGTGCCAAGCGTTGAATGTGTTTGGTTTACAAACAGAAGGGGAATTGCCACGGAATAAGTAGAATTTATCATCATTATGCTACTCAGCGAACATGCTCAAAATCTAGGACTTTTATTTTAGGTATTTATGCTTCCTTAATTTAGGTTGTTATTATACACAAGGAGGAGAGCACATCCTCTTTCTGTTATTCTCTGAAGTCATAGAATTAGATTTAATATGGACGAAGGGAGGAAAACCATTTTCCTTTAAGGTATAAGTTGGCAAAATTGTAATATGGAGGAATTTCAAATCATCTCTTCTGGAAATGAGGCTTTATATGCTTTTTGTAAGGTAAAGCACATAGTAGGTCTATAGAGGTTAAATATCTCATCAGAGGTTGCACTAACAGCATTGTGAGAGTCAGAACTTGGCTACAAACAGAGCCTTTGCTTCTTCCTAGTGGGATTACTTTGAGCAAGTCACTTAAGTTCTCTGAGTGATTGTCTCTTCACCCATATACTGGCAGTAATAACATCTACTTTGCATTTTGACAGAAAGATCAAATGTAATATAGTAAAGCACTTGGCTCAGAAAGACCATCTACTAAATGTCATCAACGATTATTCCTCTTTTTCTAGATGAAGAAATTGAGCTCAGAAAGGCTAGTAGGTTTGCTCAAAGTGACAGATGGAATAAGTGGTAGAGTTCAGACTTGAATCTTGATCTTTTGACTCCAAAATCCTTTTCTTTTTGTGCAGTATTGGGGATTTCTTTTTGGCAATAAATGCAGCCTCTTATTATTTTTTTATCCACGTACCATTTCTAATTTCTGTGTGATAATGGATTCCCTGGGGAGGAAATTATCTCGGTATTTTACAGCAGACAGTCAATAGGTTTCTGTAGACTTGGACTTCCATGCAGCAATCGCATGTACAGTGATAGCAGTCACCCTTCCAGTGGACATGGTTTGTATAGCCTCCAGCTCTCTATCCCCACACCATTCCCTAGCCATCCATGCCTTTTCTGTTTCAAAAATAGTTCCTGATATAATTGAAGGAAATGAAAATATTTATAGACTCCTTCTATTTTTAAAATGCAAAGTAAACGTATTATCCTGGGGAGGGAGAGGGATTTTTACATCAGTGACTTGCTTTATTGAATGGAAGACAGGCAGCCAGAAAATGGCACTGCTTGTCAGTTATCAAAATACCAACATATGGATGTGTTTGTGAAGTAATAATTATTCATTCACTGTTAAAATGTTTACTTAAGCCCGGGCACTTCTCTAGGCCAGGGGTCTGCAGACTTTTTCTGTAAAGGGCCAGAGAGTAAATATTTCAGGCTTTGCAGGCCACATGTGGTCTCATTTGGGTTTTTCACAATTCTTTAAGAAGGTAAAGACCATTCTTAGCTAGCTAGAGGAGCAACAAAGCGAGCCAGAGGATTTGGCCATTGGGCCATAGTTTGCCCCAGTCCTATGCAACTGAGGCATGTTTCCATGTATTTTCTTCTATTTGTGTATTGCATTAGAGTTCCCAAAATGCTCTCACACACATTCTGTGTGCACCTTGAATCAACCTTGACAGTAGCTGCATTTATCATCTCCATTTCCAGATGGAGAACTAAGGCTAAGAAAGATAAACATGCCAAATGAAGGTCAGGTAGCAAATTATTGATTCATTCATTCCACAGTGACTGATTGATTGATTGATTGATTGATTGCTACTATGTTTCCCATTTTCTATCACATGCTGGAATAAAATAGCAAAGTAGATATAGTTCCCACTCTAATAGAGCCTACATCCTTATAGGGAAGATGGATATTCACAAAACAATCTCACAACGGTCTAATTAATTATAGTTGACCCTTAGGCAACACAGATTTGAACTGTCTGGGGCCACTTCTACACAGATTCTTTTCAACAAATTTATTGGACAGTGTTTTGGAAATGTGCAATGATTTGAAAAAAACCTGCAGACCATGTAGCCTAGAAATAATGAAAAAAAGTTTTAAAGTTAGGTATGTCATGAATACATAAAATATCTGTAGATACTGGTCTTTATCATTTACTACCATAAAATATATGCAAATCTACTATAAAAAGTTAAAATTTATCAAAACTTACACACAGATCATACATGGTACCATTTGCAGTTGAGAGAAGTGTAAAGATGCAGTATTAAATCAAAACTGCATGAAATTAACTGTAGTACACACTGTACTACTGTGATAATTTTGTAACCACCTCCTGTTGCTATTGCGAAGAGCCCAAGTACTGCAAGTATTCACTTAAAATGCTGTGTATACCAAATCATCTCTATGTGAACAGTTGCTCTCTCCAGTAAATTGCTTATTGCCATAAAAAGTGATCTATTGCAGTTCTTATGTATTTTTCACCATGTTTAATGCAATACCATAACCCTTGAATAACACTGTGGGACCCACAGGAAGTACCACGAGTGATGTTGGAAGTACTTTCAAGAAGCAGAGAAAAGTCATGACATTACAAGCAAAAGTTGCATTGCTTGATACGTAGCTTAGGTTGAAGTTTGCAGCTGCAGTCGCCTGTCACTTCAGACAATTCATCTTGTAAACAGACAGTGTAAACTTACGACATCAATATGTAACCATACAGTGCTGTTAAGGTATTTTCTCTTATGATTTTCTTTATATTTTCTCTAGCTTACTTTATTGTGAGAATATAGTGTATAGTATGACATACAAAATATGTGTTAATCAACCATTTATATTATCGATAAGGCTTCTGGTCAACAGTAGGCTGTTGGAAGTTGAGTTTGAGAGGAGTCAAAGTTCTACATAGCTTTTTGACACTCCTAACCCTCATGTTGCTTAAGGGCCGACTGTACAATAATGGCCTGTTCTGTGAAGCAGAAATATATGCTGTGGTACAAGTACATTTAATAAGGGGACTTATCTTTTTTTTCCATTATTTTTAAGAAAGGGTCCCACTCTGTTGCCCAAGCTGTGGAGTGTAACCTTGGACTTCAGAGCTCAATGATCTTCCCTCCTCAGCCTCCTGAGTAGTAGGGCTACAGGTACATACCACCATGCCCTGCTATTTTTTTTTTTTTTTTGCGATGAAGTCTCACTGTGTCACTCAGACTGGAGTGCAGTAGCACGATATCAGCTCACTGCAACCTCCACCTCCTGGGTTCAAGTGAATCTCCTGCCTCAGCCTCCCAAGGAGCTGGGATTACAGGTGCCTGCCACCATACCCAGCTAATTTTTGTATTTTTTTTAGGAGAGATGGTATTTCACCATGTTGGCCAGGCTGGTCTCCAACTCCTGACCTCAGGTGATCCACCCGCAGGTGATCCTCAGGGCCTCTGGGATTATAGGCATGAGCCACCATGCCCAGCCTGTTTTTAAAAATTTTTGTAGATACTACATCTTGTTATATTGTCCAGGATGGTCCTGAACTCCGGGCCTCAAGCCATCCTCCCGCCTTGGCCTTCCAAAACTCTGGGATTACATACAGGTATGAGCCACTGTCCCAGGAGGGGACTTAACACTGATTAAGAAAAGTTTCAGTGAGAACACGACACTTGAATCCGTAAGCAATTGCGTTAGATTATTCGCCTTTTAGAGTGGGAATTGGAGAACTATCTGGCCCCCTCCTAAAAGTTTTGCTGCCTCCTGTTCTAGAGAAGGAAAATCTGTAAAATGGAAGGTCCTGAGATAGGAAAGCATGGTGCTCTTGAGGAAGAGCAATAACTGTATATTTAACACAAAGAACAAAAGAAAGTATGGTATACAGTGAGGTTGGAGAGGTCGGCAAGGGACAGACCTAAAAGCAGGGTCTTTATGCTTTTTTATCGCGGATCTTTTTTTTTTTTGAGACGGAGTTTCGCTCTTGTTACCCAGGCTGGAGTGCAATGGCGCGATCTCGGCTCACTGCAACCTCCGCCTCCTGGGTTCAGGCAATTCTCCTGCCTCAGCCTCCTGAGTAGCTGGGATTACAGGCACGCGCCACTGTGTCCAGCTAATTTTTTCTTTTGTATTTTTAATAGAGACGAGGTTTCATCATGTCGACCAGGATGGTCTCGATCTCTCGACCTCGTATCACGGATCTTTTATTTTATCTTGTTACTAATGGGAAGAAATCAAAAGATTTTATAGAAAACAGAGGACATGTGATCAGAGTTACATTTTAAAAATAGCATTCTAACTCCAGAGCAGATAACAGATTGGAGCAGAGCCATTGTGTTTACTCAGGACCAGTTAGGGGCTGGGCATGTGGCTCACGCCTGTAATCTCAGCACTTTGGGTGGATCATGAGGTTAAGAGGTTGAGGCCATCCTGGCCAAGATAGGGAAAGCCTTTCTCTACTAAAAATACAAAAATTAGCTGGGCCTGGTGGCAGGCACCTCTAGTCCCAGCTACTCGGGAGGCTGAGGCAAGAGAATCACTTGAACCTGGGAGGCAGAGGTTGCAGTGAGCCAAGATTGCACCACAGCACTCCAGCCTGGGTGACAGAGCAAGACTTAATCTCAAAAAAAGAAAAAAGACCAATTAGGAAACTCTTGGAGGAGTCAGCCAAGCAATGATGATACTTGGACTGCAGTGGCAATAATGGTGACAGAAATAAACATTGGTGAGATGTATAGGAAGTGGAACCAACAGGACTTAATTGATTGGCAGTGCTGGGTGGAGAAGGATGGCACCCATATTTCTGGCATGAGCAGTGAGTGGGTGCCTAGTGCTGCTACTTGTTGAGAACTAGGTAACACTCTGAAGAAGCAGGTTTGTGGTTGAGACAACCTGGGTTTGGGATGAGAGCAAGTACTCAGTTTTGGCCATGAATTTAATGTTCAGATGCATTGTTTGAATGGATAGGTTGAATAAGCATGTGTACGTAAGGGGCTTAGCTCAGGAGACAGGTCTGGACTGGAGATAGAAATCTCCTTTGGCCTATAGAGGATATTTGAAACCTTGGGAGTAAATGAAGTCACCCAGAGCAAAAAAATAAGAGT